GGGGGGGAGGTTCCGCAGCACGCTGTTTCTTTTTTTCAATCATCTAGTAATTTTATATTATAGTTTCATAATTTTTATTATTATTATTATGATTAGTATTATTATTTAATCATGTAGTAAGTCGTTTAATCAGACTGTTCATGGAAAGATCTTACAATCATGTAATACTTTCTTTTTCGAATCATACACTACTTTATTTAATCCACCTACGTTTCTCTTCCTCCTATTTTCCTCCTCTCTTCTCTCATCATTGCCTCTTCTCTTCTTCCCTTCTCGCGCTTTTATTTTTAAGAAAAAAAAAACCTTCTCTGCTTTGTGTATCCGACGTGGCATCGTCTGCCTCAGTGTTTTTTTTTTGCGGTCGAACACGCCGCGGCGCGCCGTAGATCGGATCAGGACTCAGGATGAGAGAGAGAGAGAGAGAGAGAGAGAGAGAGAGAGAGAGAGAGAGAGAGGGTTTCTCCTCCTCTTCCCCCTCTACCTCCTTCCTACTCTTTCGTCCTCCTTCCTGCCCCTCCTTGCTTCTCCTCCCCCATTCCTCCTACCTCCTTCCTCCTTCCTCCTTCCTCCTCCCTCCCTCCTCCCTCCTCCCTCCTCCCTCCTCCCTCCTCCTCCCTTCTCCGTTCTCCGTCGTCCGTCGTCCTCCCCCTTTTCTCCTTCATCTTTCCTCCTCCCCCATCCCTCCTCTCTCCTCCTCTCTCCTTATCCTTCCTCCTCCCTTCTCCTCCTTCCTTCCTGCTCCCTTGTTGTCCTCCCTTTTTTTTTTTTTCTTTTTTTTTCGAAAATAACCCGTGTGTAAGCCCCCTCTATCCCGGCCGTGGTAAGAGAACCGTCGGAATTGAGGGCTTATCTGTCGAAGGGCTGCTCCATCTCTTGATGGGGGGGAGCGGCACCTGCTGAAAACCGATGGTCCAGCGTCCCATCCTTTTCTTCCTAATCCGCGCCCTGATCCTTTTTTTTTTTTTTTTTTTTTAAGGAAGGTCCTGATCCTGGTCCTGATCCTTTTCGTGCTCCCCTCACCCGATGACCCCGAAATTCACGGTGACCGCCGTCTCGTCAGATATTCAACATCGTTATCGTCATTAAGATCATTTCTTGTGTGTTGATGATAGATAGATGACCATCTCCTTCTCCATCCATGGCTTCCACGGCTACGTACGCTTCTTGTGCACTCCCATTGAGAAATTGAAATTGTTTTTTTTTTTTTTTTTTTTTTTTCCCGTGATATTATGGCCACTGTTTTCACTATTTTCACTATATTATGGAACATGAAAATTACTTGCATCACGACTGGAACTGGCGATCTGCTTATCAATGGTGACATGTGATGTGTGTACGAGTCAATCACACAAGGGCTGCGTGCGCTGTCTTTGCTGACGTTGTTTGTTTTTTGTTGTTGTTTTGCTTTTTTGTGTTCTTTTTCCGTTTCTGTAGTGAAGTTTTTTTTTTTTTTTTTTCATCTTGGAACCAGGGGGGGGTACATGTAGGTCCCACTAGCAAAGAGGATTGGATTAAAAAAAAAGAACTTGAATCTGGACGTGTTTCTGGAGAGGTGCAGAAAAGCATATCGATCGGCGTTTTTCTGCACATCTCACACAAGAAAAACGTCCAGATTCAGGCATCCAATCCGATCCTCTTTGCCAGTGGGGACCACGCTCCAGGAGACTTTTTCCATGCTTTTTTGCCCTAAACGGTTGTTGACGTATCTTATAATAATATTTTATGAAGTTTTTAAGTTTTTTTTTAATGCATCGTACCTTTTTTTTGTTTTTTTCAATGCCCAAACAGTTTTTTCGTCAGGACTCGAACTCACGATCTGCCTTTTTTTTTTTTTATATGTTTTATTGATCTGTTTTTTCTTTTATTATATATATGGTGTATTGATCTGCTTTTTATATATCCGACGAAACAGTTTGTCACAGCCCCTCGTTTGTTGTCCTCTTCTCTCTCTCTGCCTACGGTTTACCGGCCAGTTCTATTTGTGACGATATATATGTCTTATTGATCTGCTTTTTTTTTAATATATGTTTTATTTCACTCCTAAGAATATAACGGTGGCTCAAAAAGTCAATCGAATTCTCTGTCAGACTCAAAAACAAAATGTGAATCGTGGTCAAAGTGAGGATGTGGTCAAAGGTCACAGTTAAGTGTTGGTCACGCCTTGAACCCATTGTTGGGTTTTCCGTCTTCACCCAAAGAGAACGGCCGGTCATTATCTCTGCATCTGGATCAAAAGTTGTTTCCAATACAGATATAATGACCAGGCGTTCTATTCGGGTTCAAAAAGACGGCAAGTCAGTCAGGGGCAACCGTGCAAGTCACCACCGAATGAAAAAAAATCGCAGATGTCCTCAACGGTCAAAGGTCAAAGTGGGATTTTTTACAGATAACCCATGTGCAATGTCCCACTTTGACCGTTGAAGTCGCACTTTGACGTGGTCAAAAAATTTGACGTGGTCAAAAATTTTGACCTGGTCAAAAAATTTGACGTGGTAAAAAAATTTGACGTGGTCAAAGTGGGACATTCATTGTACATGCCCGCAATGCAATCAGACTCGCTTTCTTTCCAGTTCGCACACACATGCAAACAGATGGAGACTAACACTGGCGCAGGGCGCCCGCGGAAAGCTTATAGAGATATGGAAATCAAGAACACAGTTCAGATGCAAGTTCTCTTCAACAGGCTATGGCGCATCAGCGCCTGAACATCCCAACCTTCGTCACTGTGTCCAACCCCATTGTTCACACAGGCTCACTCTGGAGCACCCTGAATACCACCACACACACATACACTATGTCTAACTTCCCCCTCTACCTCCTTCCTCCTTCAGCGGCTATGGCCGCACTACCACTACTGGCTATGGCTACGATCTCCCTTCAGCCCACTTCGTCTTCGGGCAACCTGAGACGGAGGCGACTTATTTTTCTGACTTTTTTTCAAAAATCTTCTGCTTTGGCATGTGCAACCCATCGTGGAAAATTCATTTTGTGTTGTACATACAGGGTACCTGGTCGTCTGGAAGATCCGTCCTGAAGATTCTGTTTTCCTTGAATTTCATACATAGTACGTCCTGTACGGAGTGCAGCAGCGATCTCGTACAGGGTACCTGGTCTCATCATTCATCGGTAACGACTCTTTTTCTTTATTTCAAAAAAAAGAAATAAATGAAATTCCTGTTTGGATGTCGTGGACATCTGGATACCGGTAGGCGGGAGATTTTCAAATTTTCAAATATTTTCAAATATTTTCAAATATTTTCAAGTAGACGGAAAGTTTTTGCAATGGAGTGAAAGAGCGCCAGTGCTGTGCTTTAATACTACAGTTGGTGGGTCATTTAACGGGGAGCTTCCCCTTCTCTCTTTTTCCTCCCAAGGGCAAATACAACGAACCTGATGGAGAGTGGCTTTTCTTGACCAAGAGTGAGTTGGCTGATCAAGAGTGGGTTTGAACTCAGGAGTAGGCGGAATGCGTTTGTAGTGGAAGAGCCAGTGCTGTGCTTTGCTAGTACAGTTGGTGTTGGTGGGCCATTTAACGGGATCTCTCTCTCTCTCTCTCTCTCTCTCTCTCTCTCTCTCTCTCTCTCTCTCTCTCTCTCTCTCTCTCTCTCTCTCTCTCTCTC